CAACCACCCCCTCAGAAAGCCGATTCAACTCATTCAACAATACAAGAGATGTCTGAGATATGGTTGAGACGACCCAGCAACACGAGGCCAGAAGAACAAACAACCTGAAACTAGAAATTCCACATTTTCCCCGCAAAAAAGCTTCACAGACCATTATGTCTCTTTTCAAACAGCTGTTCCTTATCTAGACTATGGTACCTGAAGAAAGTACAGGCATCAGTTACAAGTGAGTAATTTCCTGTATCGGCTGATAATGTATACTACAAATATATTTAATTGTTTGTACATAATATTGTAAATGTGAACGTTAAAGTGGATGAATGGATGGATGGATGTCTGTTAGGGACAATAATAGTCATGGCATCGAAGAGAGAGAGAAGTCTTCTAAGAAACAAGAGAGATTAAACAGCCTATTCCAACTGAGTCACCTGAGAAGCGAGCTTTGGTAATCAGACGAACTCTAGTCGAGTAGATGGTGGTAGATGGTGGTGGTGGGGGGTAGGTCGGGTTTTCACAGCATCTGTCTGCATTCCTTCGTGGGGGGTTTGTTGTTGGCATCTCAAGGCTGCCATAGCGTCAGATTCTGATAACAAGACTTTGTTTTGGTCAGGCTGAGATAATTTTCCCCTCTGCCTTCAGTCTGTAACTGATCATTCAAGTCCTCCAGTGAAGCCAATTTAGGTTTTAAACATCTCCACACCGTCCAGTGACCCTCTCCAAGATGACATCCATTTTGCACACTAACTTCGGTATCGCAGCTAGAACATTGTCCAGCTTGCGATTCACCTCAAGTAGCATCCCAGTCAGTGAGGTCTCCACAAGGACGGTGCTCTCCGTGGGTGCGGGTCGCCCTCCAATCGCTCCCGTCTTCCCAAATTTCCAGAAAACCAGACATCGTTCCACTCCAATCAGAAGAAATCCAGTGATCATCAGGCCAAACATCCACACGTCTACGACGTCCTCAATGGACGGCTGGGAGAGGCATACAATCTTCCACTATTTTCAGGAATCCATCATATATCCTGCCGGGTGTGTCCTTTGCGGGCAAGTGGGAGCCCCCTGCTCCGTTCTCATTGTTGAAAAAATCTTATCAATTGCGTTGAATGACCAATTTATCAAATTCATTCCTAAAAAATAGGGGTTTCCTCACATACATAGAGTATGTGAGGATCTGTCAAAATGTCTGAAATGTCATATCCCAACTTCCCCCTCTCTTTGTTTACTGGGGAAGCTGGACGATGTCCCAATTGCAACATCTTTGGTTCACGTGGTTCTGACTGCCATATGCATCGCTAAGAAAACTATCCTTTTGAATTGGAAAAATAGAGAAAGTCTCTGCATTAACCAGTATAGAAATCTTTTGTTAGATCATATTGCACTTGATATAGCCTCTGCTTCCACTTCAGATGAATCTCTCTGGGCTCCTTTGATCGGTTCCATCACATAGCAATGGTGGGGGGCCGTTGATGTTGTCCTGCAGGATGGTGTGGGTGGGGGGGTGTGGGGTCTGAGTTTGGAGTATCCGGATGTTGCCTGGAGGTGGGTTCACTGGGGGTGTCTGGGACTGGGGGGCCCCTCTGGAGGTGCTTGGGTTGCCTCGGGGGGTGGACTGCTGGCGGTTGTGAGTAGGGCCTCTTGGGGATCTTGGCGGCGGCCATGGGTCACTGCCTGGCGGCTGCAATGTCCCTGGGCAGGTCTAGGTGGGGGCCTGGGGGCTCGGGGTTTGGGGGTGGCCGGCCCCGTGTGGGGATCTGGGCGGGGCCTTGGGTGTCGGGTCCTGACATGTATGCTGCCGGGAAGAAGGCAGGGACACCAAGCAGTGCCTGGCCCGGGTTCGGGGGCCTCAGGTAGGCCTTGGCTCCTCTGCCGTTCCATCACAGGGGAGGGGGAGGTCCAGGAGGGGGAGGACCCAACCTTACCTGGATGTCCCATGTCTTATATATTCTGGAAGTTGTGCAAATGCAGGGACGGGCATAGATATTCTGCTGGGGTGGGGCTGGGTTGGTGCCCTCGGACTCCGTGAGGCTCTGTAATGCTGCTGCTTTGGGCCCTGGCAGGATGGGCTGGGGTCTCCATGCCCTGGGTGGCAGTTTGACAACAGAGGTGCCTATTGGGGCCAGTAGGGGAGCTGGCTCCCTGGAGGGCTAAGCCCAACCAGCCATTCCTCCCCATCCCCGCATATTTCTCTCCTCCTGCTCCCTCACATCATCACACAAACATACACATAGGACCTTGGGGGGTGGGCAAGTCAGGGAGTGTGGGTATGGACCCCATTTCCGCATTCCTGTGGAAACCTGCCCCCCAATTTTATTTGCACCTTATACACTTCCACTGACGACATTCCACACAAACAAACACTTAGGGCCTTGGGAGTGAGCACATTCAACAGCATTTGATAGGGGGATATTTCAGCCTCCTCCCGAGTGCCGGTGCCCACTTCCAATTTTAAACTGCACTTAGACACTGATGGCTGAGGGTGTAAGTGGGGTGGTGCGGTGGCATCAGCTGGCATATGCTGGATGATGCCCGCACTGCCCACTCACCACAGCCATGGAATACACCTCATGATCACACAAACACTATATTGGAGCAGGCGGAGGGAGACTAGGGGTCTTAGCCACCTCTGTTGTTGCTAGGCTTCCTGGGGTTGGAGGCTAGGAGGGAGATCTGGCCGTCTGGTTGGGGTCTGGGGTGGTGGGTTGCTGTGCTCAGTGTTGGGCGGGGGAGCCTGCTCATCAGCACCCAAGCAGAAAGGGTCAAACTCTGGTTACCGGTGATGGTTGTACCCAATGTGCAGCAGTACCGGGACCAGAGTGAATAGGGTGTGTATGGGGAGCATGAGTGGGTGTCCGGCGTGCATTTTTGTAAGTCTTGGGTTGTATGTGCATGTGTGAGCATGAGGGAGGGAGCGTGTGACTGTGTTTGTGTATGACTGTATATGTCAGGTGGGGCCTTTGGGTCCTCCCCTCTCCTGGAACTTCTCTTGATGATATAGATCTCTGTCCCCCCTCCCCCTGCCACACCTGGTGTGGGGGCTTGTGCCTTGGTCTGCCTGAGTGTTCGGGGCAACCGGGTCTGGGGGTTTAAGATTTTGGCATCTGCCTGTTAGATCCCGGTGGCTGCCTGGTGGGGTCTGGGTCCCTGGGCTCTGCTGGGTCCCCGGCGGGGGTGGTCGCCCCTGGGTCCCGGGTCGCTGGGTCCCGGGCTCGGCCGGCTAGGGGGTGGGAGGCTGCGGGCGGGCCTGTGGGCTTGCCGCTGATATCTCCGGGGACTCTGCCGGCTGCTGGTTGTGGCCCCCCGGGGCGATCCTCTGTGCCTCTCGAGGGGGGCGGGGGCCTTCCCAGTCTCCTTGGGGTTCCTGTGTTCTGGTGCAGCGCCTGGATCTCTGGGACTTGGAGCCCCCCCCCCCCCCCCCCCCCCCACCCCCCACCCCCCATCTCCTGCGCATCTTTGGGGGGCAGATCTGTGGTCCCTCACACTCTCTGTTGGGCGCTCCTATAGAAAAACCTTAAATAAATCAGCGCGTGTACACACACAGGTGCTCACATGGTGCTCTCAAAAGTATGGGCTTGGTCACGTTAAACACAGGTCTTAAGACTATGGTGGGCACTTAATGTGTTGTGATTTATTATCGTGATTCTTCAGTTAAGCAATGTTGATTATATATAAATATATATTTTTTTCTTTTAATCAAGTTGACGCAGTGATAGGTAGATCTTGTTGTATTGTTGTTGTGTCCCTTTTTTGTGTCCCTTTGTTTTTTTTTTATCTTTTTTCTGCAGGTCTGGAAGCAGACTCTTGTTCATTATGGTTTGTTTTTGTGGAAACCCCCCCCCCCCCCCACCCCCCACCCCTCTTACACCTTTTCTTTTCCTTTCTCTTTCACCTCTGTCTCCGTGTCTGGTCGGAATTACCAAGCATTCAACAACAGTAACAATAAAGTTTTAAGTATCAGGCGTGACATTAAAAGCAAATGCTTTGATGCTCCACCTGAGAGTAAATCTGTAAGGCTTGTCACCAGCATTCAGACATCAATTCTGCTTGCTTCACAGCCAGACAGGACACGGTAAAAAAAATAAAAAAATAAAAAATAAATAAATAAAAGTTTTTTTCAGAAGAAGTGCAGAGAAGCGCTCTTTGGGTAGACAGGACAAAGAGCCTTGGGAAAAAAGATAAGGGAGCAAAAAGAGAAGCGTCTGTTCTCTGCGAGTGCCGGAAAAGAAGTGAATATATATATTCAAAGAAAGAAAAGAAAAGATTATATATATATGTATATATATATATATACACACATCCATATACAGTGTATATATATATATATATATACATATATATATATATATATGTATATAAATATATATATATATATATATATATATATATATATAGATATATATATATATATATATATATAGAGAGAGAGAGAGAGAGAGAGAGAGAGAGAGAGAGAGAGAGAGACAGAGACAGAGAGAGAGAGAGAGACAGAGAGAGAGATAATGTCACGTAGCATTCATGGACTCGTCTATCTTGACTCACGACAGGGAAGGCTGTTGTTGGTTTTGGGTATCCAACAGTCTAAGCTAACCGTTAGCATTAGCTACTTCAGGCCAATCCTCAACTCTGATGTGGCTCATTTCTACTTCCTGAAACTGTTCCTGAGCTCTGTTTCCCCAGAGTACGACTTACAAGGCCTTCATTACTACTAGAGACCACTGCAAATGTATTGATTAAACAAGGGATCCCCATATTTAAAGAGCTCATAACAAAGTTAGATGGTTGAATTGTTTCAGAGTTCTTGAGCTGCTAATGACCTCTGACAAATAACTAGATGCTGTCAAGTGCTTAATTAGTAATTGTTCAAAAATATATCTATTTATGTCAAGCTTTTAAACACCATTGTTGTTATTGTTTTATCTGAAGATCTGAATAAAGATGTACTGAGGGAGAGAATGCATTCATCTAGAAAACATTTAGTAATTATTTAAAGATGCAAGCCTTAATAAACTTTAGTTGTTTTATTGCACAAATAAATTAATGCATGAGAGCACTTCAATGCAGAAACCACACAAAGACATTCTGTTTTACAATGAGTTCAAACATTATAAATTAAAAAAACATAAATACTTATTTACACATTCAAAGTGTTTGTGTTGATATATTTTGAAAATAAATATAACAATAAATATATAAATAATGCAAAACATTGTGGACTTCATGCAGTTTAAGATGACTTTTGAATTAGCCATCTATCTATGCATCCACTAAGACACAAAAGTTACATCCATATAAACACACATCTTTAGTTTTCTTTTCCCTCTTTTGCTGTTTGTCAGTATGAAAAGCAAAGCACAGCTTGGGTTAGACAAGTTGACTTGAAGGTGATCAGCCAGGTAGACAGTCTTCGCTAAGAGACACTCAAATCATGGAGTTCTTCAGTCTGTCAAAGATCTGTTGGACTTTGATAGCAGGGACACAGCCTTCTCTCACAATGGTGATGACTCCTGAACGAAGGTTAGAAGAGCTTCAGTTAGAAACTTGACCTTAAACAGCCCCAGTAGGAAGAAATCATGGCCCCTTACCTTCATCAATCCTCAGGCAGTTGACCACAGTTGAAGCAACTACTTCATTCGAGTCACCATCACAAAGTACTCCTTGGATCTTGTGTCCCAGTCGACTGCAGCAAAAGAAGCAGTTTGAAACAGTAATTAGTGCATGGTGCTAAAAGTGTTAGAGATGTGTTGTTTGTTAGTTTGCATTAAACTTCTTTGAGGAGACTCTTACTTAATGACCATGCTGTGGTGGGTGCTGTCTGATTCTCCACTGGGATTGGCTGATGTTATGGCCAGGGGTCCAGTGATGTCACATAGGTGGCAGGTCACGGTGTGGTCTGGGACACGGATCATGATGCTGTCTCTGGTACCAACACGGTCATAAGCAGGTCCAACTCCTACAGAAATGAGGTTAAAGTTCACGTAAAAACTGAATACTGATACAGAATTCTGCCACTCAACATTCAAACACTCTACACTGCTGACCTAGTCTGTAAAGCCAGTCTCCTTTGCTGACAATGCAGCTGATGCCTCCAGGATACACATTCCTCATGAATTCCCACAGCAGAGGGCTGAAAGGAGGCCTGGCTGCAACCAGCTGTTCCACACTGGAGATGCAAATGCATATAGGCTTCTCTGCAGGTCTGTCCTGCAAAAGGTCCAATTCAACAAGATGGTGACTTCATGAAAATGTATATTGCTGTTAAACAAGCCTCCTCTATCTTCTTACTTTAATGTTGTAGATTTTTTCTATCGCCTGAGGATTCTTGCAGGAAGCAGCCAGAGCGTACACAGTATCTGTGGGAATACCACACACACCCCCGTCCTCGAGAAGTCGAGCTATCTTCAACAGACCGCTGGTGAGACGCGAGCTAGCCACCGGACAGGACGGCTCGTCACAAGCTTCCTGTTTCACTTTTTCCTAAAACAACACACACACACATTTTTATTAATTATTCATGCTGATTCTTAAAGGTAGGTCAATCTAAACTTCAGTCATTACCTTTATTATGGGAGGACCCATTGGGATCACTCTTTGTGAGAAGATGCAGTTCATCAGTGAAGCCAAGGTGCCATAAAAGCAAATGATGGATACCAATGCAAGCATGGCAACTGCAATACATCGTTTCTGGATGTTAGACTTTATTTGTTCTGATGAGAGTCAGTATCGTAAATACATAAAGTTTATAACAGGCGGTTTTAACTCACTTTCAAGTTGGTATGGAAGTCTGTGCAGGGTGGAGAGAAGGAAGCAGACAAGAACAACCTCCATGATTGTTGTTAGAAACAACAGAACCACGTTCCTATAAGCAGCTAATAGAAGAAACAAAAGTACAAAATTATGAATGAATAAAAATTGTGATTTCCAGCACTGAAAGCAGATACTAGACCTTACCAATCAGCATGAGGAAGGCATTAATGACCAGTAAAGCAACGCCTCCAGCTGTGAATCTATAGGCTGCCTGGACGGGGAGCTGAAGCTGAAAACCTGTAGAACAATAACTCCTGATGAGAATATTGTTCAAATCAGTCAGAAAAAATGTATTTTGCTCATACTTTATGCTGACATACCTGCAAATCGAAACCACGTCCAAGTTGCCCATGCAACCACGTAGATGGATGAGATGACTGATCCAAACCGGCCCTCTCCGGTGACTTGTAGCCTGCTGACATAGGTCTGAATGATGCCTCCAGAGATGAGGACCCAGGGGACAGTCAGATGAAGGAATGAAGGGTTCCCACTTGACACTTCTGAATGAAGAGCTGAAAGTGCTGCAACCCCGTTGGTGAGATAAAACAGAGCATCTGAGGCCTGGTCACTGTTGGGCAGCTCTTTTTGTTCTCCCTGTTGAGACCTTCTACACATCAGAGCTCTCTTCAGCTGCTCGGAGGAGACCGGCTGTGGTCCCACAGGGATTAGAGACTTCTCTGCGATGGTGTTTATGAGGCGTGAGAAGGTACCGTAGACTGAGACTGCAGTGAAGAGAGAGCAGGCTACACCAAAGAAGATGTAGTAACCCTGCAGGGGGATCTGGGGGATTGTTGAGACTGTGAGCAGAACAAAGAGCAAGTTGTGGATCAGCTCCAGAGTGTCCATGTTCAGGCTTCCCACACAGAGCACCAAGCCGGCCACCACAAAGAACCAGTCTCCCACCATGGCTTCCCTACCAGCAACAACTTGACTGTGCTCCACAATCAGGGCAGATGCCACAAACTCATCCCAAGCCTTGATCAGCCAATACATGGCATGAATCCCAAATTTTGTAGTGTGGTAGCTATCCTGGCGCAAATGAGCGTAGTAGCTGGAGAACAGCTGGGCGACTGAGATGATTGATACCCATGCAACTCCTAAACCAAACGATTTCATGTACCCAAAGCTGTAGAAGGCAACGATGAAGGGAGCAATAGAGTCACAGAAGAATCCCAAGGCCATGGGCTCTGCATATTTTGTGTTCTTCTTCTTCTCTTGACCAGGTTTCTGAGCACCTGTTGAGTTGGTGGTTCCTAGCAGGAGAACATTAAAGAGGGGGGTCCCAAAGCCTTTAAGAACCAGACGTTGAGTCAGCCCTTTGATGAGTAGAGCAGCTGAACCATAGATGGCAAAGATCAAAATGAGCAGCTCCAGAACCCCAGAGACCACCAGAGCCCAAGGGCCTGTCACCAGAGCTGCTGCTTCAAAGATCAAAGTGGCCGTGATGGCTCCAAAAACAAAAGGCATGATGTAGTTGACCGTGGCAGAGCAAAATGCCAGGATAAAGGACAGAAGGATATAAGGGATCAGACCAGCAATGGCTGACTCTTCTATGGACACACATAAGTGGCACTGTGTTGAGTTTTGAAGAGAAGTGTTGACCATCATGTTGGTGGTTGAACCATTGAACATGTGCTCTGACACTGATGGTATAGTCTGATTGTTAAATAAAGCACCATAGTAGATTCTGGTCGCCCCATAGCTACCCCAAAGGGCAGCGTAGCCGATGAAGGCAGTGCCACTCAGGTGATCGTACTTTCTAAAGGAGAGCAGTCCAGCCACCAGCTGGCACAAACCACCAATCAGGATGAGATGAACACCTGGAAGAAGTGTTAGAAACTGCTGTAAGCCACCTTCACAGGTTTATACATGAATAGATATTTGTGTTTATGTCAAGAGTTTTACCTGCAAGTATGTTCTCCACTCCAACTGGTTTAATGCCAGTGTGAGCTGTGCTGAAGTTCTGTAGAAGTACAAGGAATGCACTGATCCCATTGGATAACATTCCTAACACTCCTGGTTCTCCATAGAAACTGGCAGGAAAACCGTTTGAGGCTGCCATGGTGTTTCTGTAGACAATCCAGTCAGTACAGGTAACATATGATAAAAGTCTAAAATGGTAATCCTCAACAACAACATTTATATATGAATTTTAATATGACTGTATAATATAATATAATACAATATAATATAATATAATATAATATAATATAATATAATATAATATAATATAATATAAAACGTTCCTTGCCTGTCATAAGTAGGCTGAGCCACTCTTGTCATGTAACTAATGTAAAAGTCATTTATTACGACGCTCCTCTAACAGGCTCTCTGAAGAGGAAGAATTTATTCTAAAAGAAAACAATTTTATCAATAGAATAATACCCCTAACATTACTGTTATTTTCATGTTGTTGAAAAACTACAGGATATTGCAATAATAGTTTTAGTATTTATAAATAAACTCTTGTCAGGGAGCATCCTTTATGCAGATTTAGGTCTGATTCAATCTACAAAGCAGAGTATATAATAATCTAGCTATAGGTTTAAGGATCTTTGATGGGTGACACGCAGAAACAAAATATTTACTCCTGTTAGCAATTAAATAAAGAGCAAAGTTTTACCTGTTGAAGTTGTTCAGACTGATGGAAAGCTGAGTTGTGCTGAAGGAGGGACGAAGGTTTGCCTTAAATATGATCTGTTTGTGTAAAGGAGGAGTTACTGAGAATTCCCCACTCTGTCACACAGCAGCATACTTACAGGTGACATCACTGCCTTTCACTTTACACAAAAGTGGCTTTTCCTCCTTCTTTCTCCTTCCTCCCCCTCAAGGCTATTGATGATGGTGAACGTTACACCACAGATAATGACCCGGGTGGAAAAGCCTCATTCTGATGTGATGCAGGATTGCAAAAGGAACCTGCCCTTCCTGCTCCTTTGGTGTTTCCGGTCATTGTAAGTCCTGGACTATATAAGGCAGGTGGATTTTCAGCCACAAAAGCATCAGCATCCTTCACTGCTCAGCTGCTGCATCCAAGAGAAACAAGAAACAAGATCATTGTGACAGAAAGTTGAAGTCATGTTCTCCACGCTACAGGTAAGATTACACACATATTTATGCTTTTAGTCAGTTTTCAGACTCTAAAAGTGATGGTTTTAAGTCCTTTTCAAATAAAGAAGTCATAAAAATATCTAAAAGTAGAGGTTTGTAGTGCGGCCAAGGCAGGGAACTATAAAATAACTCCTGCTAATTGTTGAGGAGAACACTCATGCTGGGAAACACCTGTTACACCTCTACACTGGCTCTTTCAAACACAAACATTAGATTAAAGACGTGAGCAAGTAAATGCAGGAACTCATCAGCCTGTAGTCATCCTGAGATGTGAAAAATAACTGAAATGCTTTGTTCTGATTTATGTTTTGTCCCAAAGAAAACCATCAGACCAGTGCGGGCTGCCAGAAGACTGCATAACACTGCAGTGGAGGGTAAACAGATATGCTGACTTTGATTAAAAATAATAATAATAACCTTAATTAATAACCTTTATTAAACAACTTTTATCTTTTCATTCCTGCAGTCCAGAAGCACCCAGCCCCAGAAGATACGGTCACATCCAGTTTTGGGAAGTTCATCAGTGAAATAAAGCCTCAGCATTTGTCTCCGGTTGTGCTCCATCGCAGCAAAAGGATGGTGCTGGACAGCATCGGGGTCGGACTGATAGGGAGCAGGACAGATGTGTTTGAGCTGGCTCTTCAGTTCTGCCAGGTGAGGCAAAGTGAAAGTCTGAGTCAGGTCCAACCCAAATATGTCCAGAACAGATGAGTGAATGTAGGGTTGTTTCTGTGTTTGTTCTTAGCACATGTATGCTCCGGATCACATCAGCTCTGTGTACGGACGCAGAGGGATCAGACTCTCCCCAACACTGGCAGCTTTCGTTAATGGAGTAGCGGTGAGAAACATAAGTGGAAAACAACCATATATAAATAACCACATAAACATCAGTGGAAACATTTTGTATAAACAGCTTTTCTCAGCTGTTGGTGCAGCGTGGCTCCCAAAGACCACAGGGTTAGGATATAGAAATAAAATCAGCTGAGCTGGCCTTAAAGTTTCCCATCAAACATTTCCAAAGAAGCTACTTTCTTCCCCCTCGATGGCCTGATTTAGGAATGAAAGTCATTTTTCTTTTGAAAACACACCAGGAACAGAAATCATGTCAGTGTTCACTTCAGAAAAAAAAATCATAAAGAAGTGGATCATTCAGACACGGCACAGGCAAGGAGTTCATAGCTGGGTTCTGATCTAGTTATGACCCTCACAGAAAAAGTTATTATTCTGACTCCTTTCAGCTTCAGTATGATGAGACACAAACTCTGGTTGCTTCCAGACTCATTCCATGGACTTTGACGACACGTGGCATCCAGCCACTCATCCCTCAGGAGCTGTTCTCCCAGCTTTGTTTGCTCTCAGTGACATGATGCCGGCTAACAGCAAACCAAGCGGTCTGGACTTCTTACTGGCCTTCAATGTCGGCATTGAGATCCAGGGCCGTCTGATGAGGTTCTCTAATGAAGCACGCAGCATTCCCAAGAGGTCAGTGCCTCACAGCACAAGTCAAGCTTGAACCAGAAAGTCTGGTTTTAGCACGATCTTCATGAACACGTTCGTTTAAAGACGTCCTTGTTTGACTGTGCTGATCTCAGCACTGAGGTGTAAGAGGCTGTTTTAGTGATGTCAGTGTAATGATGCTTACTGTAGGAACAGCAGGGGCTCTTGGTGTAACGTTAACAGAATTAGCACAAACCAAACCCTTCATCTGGTGGGTGTTTTAGAAACTCAGGTGACCTGAAACGAGTCAAATCAATTCATCTTGTTCTAAAGATTCAACCAATAGAAACGTTCTTAAGTGGTGATGCAGATCAGTGATTGTTTCAGTTACAACAGAATAAATGTCCTAACTGAACTGTGTGTGTGTGTGTGTGTGTGTGTGTGTGTGTGTGTGTGTGTGTGTGTGTGTGTGTGTGTGTGTGTGTGTGTGTGTGTGTGTGTGTGTGTGTGTGTGTGAACAGGTTCCATCCTCCCACTGTGGTGGGTCCTATGGGAAGTGCAGCAGCCTGTTCTCGTCTCCTGTCTCTGGATCCGTCTCAGTGCAGTCATGCCTTGGCTATAGCAGCTTCTCTAGCTGGAGCTCCGATGGCTAATGCTGCCACTCAGTCCAAGCCCCTTCACATCGGCAACGCCTCTCGTTTGGGGCTTGAAGCTGCTCTGCTGGCCTCCAGAGGCCTAGAGGCCAGTCCTCTGGTCTTGGATGCTGTTGCAGGAGTGGCGGGCTTCAGCGCCTTTTATGAAGATTATGTTCCTCAGCCTTTAGAGTCACCTGATGATGGTGGACATGTGTTCCTGTTAGAGGAGCAGGACATGGCTTTTAAGCGTTTTCCTGCCCATCTGGGGATGCACTGGGTAGCTGATGCTGCAGCTGCGGTCCATGAGCTCCTTGTGGGACATGGTCTAGGACAGGTGTCCCCACATCAGGTCCAGGACATCCTGCTCAGAGTCCCCCAGTCTAAATACATCAACAGGCCTTTTCCCGAGTCAGAGCACGAGGCACGCCACTCCTTCCAGTTTAACGCCTGCAGCGCTCTGCTGGACGGTGAGGTGACTGTGCAGTCCTTCAGCCCGCCCGCCATGAGCCGCCCAGAGCTGCATTTCCTGCTGAGCCGTGTTCGCATGGAGCATCCTGAGGACAACCCCGCCAATTTCAACCGCATGTACGGAGAAGTCCAGGTGACTCTAGTTGGAGGAGACATCCTGAAGGGCCGCTGTGACACCTTCTACGGCCACTGGCGCAACCCGCTGACAAACGAGAGCCTGAGCAAGAAGTTCAGAAGCAACGCAGAGGTGGTGCTGCCATCAGAGAAGGTGGAGCGGCTGGTGGAGGTGGTGGAGAAGCTGGACAGGCTGGATGATTGTGGAGCTCTTCTCTCACAGCTGCAGTGATCAATTACACTGAACAATAAGGCAACAATCCTTCAGCATAGAAATAAGAATAATATTATTTTTATATTAATGTTCTTAAATGATCTTCTTAGTGTAGACTGGAAATAAACACATTGTCATGTTTTTCCTCTGGAGTTCACCTCAAGCTGATGTTTCCTCTATTGTTCAAGATTGTCTTTTGGTATTGAATTCTGTTTTTATCGTAACAAAATTCAGATAAAAACATGACTCGTGTGTGTGAGTCATATTTATTGTTTAATGCCTGTTTTTATATTAATATTGTTAATCTATGAAAATGTGTTTCCTGCAACCTTTTCTGAAAATGTGTACATAATAAAGTGTTCTAAATGTGTAAAACACATGGTCATAAAGTCACCCGTGTGTGTGTGTGTGTGTGTGTGTGTGTGTGCATGTGCTCTGTCTTCTCAATCCCAAGTGGTTCATGGCGGATGGCTCCAGGATCCTTTGCAGGTTTCTTCCTGTTACATAAAAAATTGGATAACTCTAAACTTTCTGCTTTTAAATCAAGACTGAAGTTCTCATTTTTGGACCGGAACTTCAGAAAAGGAAATTGTTTAGCCAATCATCTGACCTGAACAGCATTAAATTAGTCTCGGAGAACAAAGTAAGGAATCTTAGTGTCTTCAACCAGGACTCTCACGTTAAACTGGTTTGTAGGATTTCCTTTTTTCACCTTTGGAATATTGCTAAGATTAGATGCATCCTTTCCAGGAGTGATGCTGAAAAACTAGTTCATGCATTTATTACATCAAGACTGGATTACTGTAATTCATTACTCTCAGGAAGTCCAGAGAATGTAGTTAAAAGTATTCAGCTTGTCCAAAATGCTGCAGCTAGAGTTCTGATGAGAATTAAAAAGAGATCATATCTCTCCTGTGTTAGCTTCCCTACATTGGCTGCCTGTTAAATTCAGAATAGATTTTAAGATCCTCCTTCTCACATATAAAGCTCCATCATTCATCAGTGACCTGATAGTTCCATACGTTCCTAACTGAGCACTTTGCTCTCAGACTGCAGGTTTATTGGTGGTTCCCAGAATATCTAAAAATAGGATGGGAGGCAGATCTTTTAGCCATCAGGCTCCTCTCTTTTGGAACCAGCTCCCAGCTTTAGTCCGTGAGGCAGACACCTTTTCTACTTTTAAGACTAGACTTAAAACATTTTTATTTGATAGGACCTAGTTAATATCAATGGAAACTTCAGGGTTAAACATGGGCTAAAAAAGATGTGAAGTCCTTTGCATTTGCAAAATACTTTGTAAAAGGAATAACCAAAGGGAAACAGCCAAAAATGTGATAATTTATATTGTGTCTTTATGTTTCTGAACTTCAACTGTGAGTCTGGGCTGATTCTGTCCACCATCTCCCAGGCTTTTCTGGTGATCCATCAGATCAGAAAAGCTCCACAGAATGACGTATTAAATAGGGTGACCATACGTCCTCTTTTCCCCAGACATGTCCACTTTGCACTCTCTGTCCGGGACGTCCGGCAGGGTTTCCTACATGGAATAAAGTGTCCTGTTTTCATCCAGGAGCAGGGATCGACTTATGGGGTCTATATCTTTCAAGGAAAGGTCCAGTTTCTACCTTTATTACAATATTTATGGACTCTCAGCGTAGCGGGATTCTGTTGAGCGGAGAGGACGCAGAGTGCTGATCGTTTGTGCGTGCGCTGCGTCCGGCCCACAATACATTCACAAAGTGGCGCAACAAAACATTATTATTAACACATGATCATTCGTATCTGTTTAAATCCTCTGGTATTCTGTCTTTTAATCGTTCCTGACGCACTCCACTCATCGTGTGCTGCGGTGATTTAACCTCACTGACGCAGCATCGAAACACACACTACGCTTTGCGGTCAGGAGATCCCCTTGATCTGTTTAGTTCAAAAGTAACTGATGAGGTGAAAAAGTAAGAATCCAGGCAGGAGTTTTTCTGGAGAGTTTAGAGGAGATGCAGGAAGATGAGAGACAGACAGGACAGGAAATAGTTAAATAAAAACAAGAAAACAAAGCAAAGTGCTGAAAAGTAAA